TTGCTGAATATTGTCTCTAACACCACAAATCATGTTGACATCATTGGTTGTGAATGCATCAGCCTTGGAGACATTACCCTTTTTCATCCAACAAGTACCACTATTAAACGTTGTCCACGTATAATGAGTGCATTCTTTAGTCTGAAGACATGTCGGACCGCAGCGCTCTGGTGGAGTTATTACTTGAGACAAATCGTTTTCATTAAAATCACAGGACCTCGCCCAATTCTTTCCATCCCAATAGATTATTTGATCTAGTATACGGAAAATAGTAAAAAGAACGACGATATTCTTGAAGAAAAAATTTATGATTATTTCCATTTGTCAAAATGATTATATTTTGTAGATGACTTTAGGATTCGTTCGATTGCTTAGAACAGTAGAAAATATCACTTTACCAGGTGAAATTTAATGAACTCTATTCAATACTATAGCGTTTAGTGCAGACTTGTCGGCGTCATCAAGGCATGGAAACATAGATATCAGAGTGCTGTGAAATTCGAATATTACACCAAAAACTAGTCGTAATCATTCTCTTATGTTCTTTTCTGCTGTTCAAAAATATATGTTTACTGTGCTTGCAATCTTAAAAGGTGACTTTTCAATACTTCATGATTTGTTCAGAAAATTATCAAGAAACAGTTCTTCAGTATGAAGAGTACTGCACTCTTGATTTCTGTATGAATTTCAACTTTTTTTTTAGGATTGGCTTGTTTTCACTAAATTCTATGCTTTGAATAAATGTGAATTCATCAGAATAGGGTCATCTGGTTCGATTATATAGGAAAAATATGTTTCAATAAGGAACGTACATATTGAACAATTTCAATTAACAAATAGATTTTGATCGTTTTACGTTATATTAACGACCAAGTTCCCTCCAAAATCATGTGATGGTAACTTTTTTCAGAAAAATACGATCGTATTTTCAAAGCTATCGGTCTTATTCTCACAACATCTGATGAAGTGATGTGTACTAATTCCAGCCGCCATTTGAAATAGTTGTACTGACATAAAACTTCAGTTTTATTGCTGTGTTTATCAAAAACGAAGTTAACAATACAGTATTTGAAATCAGTTCATAGAAACAATTTATATCATTAATTTATGCGTTCTACTTCTAGTTTCTAGGAGCTGATAATAATAAAAAAGCCACGACACATTTTTTTTAATGCATTTTTTTATGGTGCTTTTAACTATATTTCCTAAACGTTGAACATATATAGTGAGATTTGAGTTTTCCAGTTATTTATACAGGGAAACATAATGAGCTTTTACAAGAACAGAGTTTTATTATTAATGTCACGCGAGTTACGAAAAACATTTTTTTCCTGCTGATTAAATTTGATATTTTGAAAAATACATGAAATGTGTCAGTTTCATATAAGTTTTAAAAATTGTTATGACACTGCTACCCGAATATGCCTATGACTTTTGTTTTTCGTTTGGACAGCTACATTAGGATAATCAAGTGTGGATTCAACTTTCGAACTTTAAAGCAATTAGATACACGTTCTTGAGCCGGTTATTTGAAATTTTGAAGAGAGAAAATAAAAGGTCATTGAATAATTATAAAACAAAATTTAACGAGTATCTACTATGTGAAAGACATGAAAAAACACAGCTAAGTTACTATGCGCAGCTATACCATTGTTAATTTTATAAATCACTGAAATTTAGTGCATTTCAATCGCATGGCGAAAATCGGTAAACTATTTTCAGAATAATCCCGCATGCATGATAATACCCAAATCATAATAACAACATTGAAAGAAATACAAAACACATTAATCGTTCACTCAGCAAGCTCTAGAATCTCACGATTAGCTTGATTTTATTGAGTTCAACCTGTTTCCCGAAGAGAATATGAAACTAACAGAAATTAAAAACTCATTCATACAAGGAACCAAGAACTCTAATTTTCATGTGTTGTGTAAATAGTTATTGTCAGCTTTCGTTCATGTGAAATTCGATGAATTTAGAGCTCAGAACTTTTATGGACGATCACTCCATACACTGGCAATGTAAAAACGACAACGTTTTTTTGTTGTTGATTGATACCCTGTCGTATACAGTTAATCGAGTTGACTACGAACATAATTTCTTGAAGCGACGTTTTTTTCTCATGTTCAGTATCATAATAAAAGTGTTCTCCTGTTGACTTGAATGCAAATAAAGCTACCTCTTCTCCGACCAGCTCTTGTAGGATCAATGAGAGGCTGACTAATGAACTGTTTGCGGAAAGCTGTTCACTTTCCTTTTTGTGTGTAGAAACGTTTCGTCGATCATCAAATATAATTATAGTTATCAATGAACTAAATTACGTAAGTGCTTTGAAAGCTTTTGTTTCCTTACTGAGAAAAGTCTATTTCGCTGCAACTAAAAGAGACAAAAGGAATATTATGTTCTATTAGTTATTCTAAGTCAGTTACAGTTTTAGTTTTAACCTGCACATGTAAGTGATCAATGTTGTAGAAACCTAAGAAAGTTCTGATATGACCTGTATGCAACTTCTCGTCTATCTTAGACTTTTTGGAGTCATTATGATGGATTTTGTGCACAAGGTTTTATAGATGTTAGATTCCTGTTCGATGAATAGCGCAATATGAACTAAGTTTGCTATCAAAACTCAAGAAAACTTTCTGCGAAATATGTAAACGGCGCATTTCAAAGTCGCATGATTCGAATGTTTTTTGCTTCCGATAATCGCAGATTCATGTTGCTGTCGACTTGATGCAACAGTTTGTGCTTATATTTTTCAATACTTCGGCTCCATATTGAATGATTTAATAAGAATTGAAACAAACAATACAAAGAACAAAATCAGTTTGGTATCTATTGTCACTCATAAATGAAACTTTGAATAACAATAGAAATGCATTGTTCGACCTCTTGCTTGATAGGATTTTCTAGGGTCTCACTGAAGACTCGGTTAAAAGTTTTGTCATTATGTTCATCGAGATGCACACCGTTTTTTTTTCATCTATATGTCAAGATTAGAGCTAGACTGAGAACTGCTTTGAAATAAGCAAAAGGACATGACATTTCTGTTTACCTTTTATAGCTACAGCAAAATGAACTGCTCGATAAAGAAATAAATATTTTCGAACATGTCTGCATGTTATAATTTAGTGTTCATTGGCGACTCAAATCATGCATCATAACAGTAGAAACATTTTCAGCCAAATGGTAGTACTGTAAAGCAGTTTCATTTAGTTCTAATGAGTAAAACCTGTAGGTTTCGTGAAAATAATCAAATTTTCGCTTTTTGACATCTTACTAATATTGATGAGATAATAAAATCAAAGCATGACAACAGCATTTAAATAGATCTTCGTGATCATCTGGATGGGCTTTTTTCAATTGTGTATAGTTCAAAGAAGTGAATTTTTTTCGGAGGTTTTATGATGCAAGCTCTTCATGAGAAATAATCACGTCATTTCAAAAGTGGCTGGCATAAGATCTTTACATTGCTATACTACTTGCTAGCACCTCAAGATTTCAAAATGAACAGTTTAGAAATTCCAGAATTGACAAGAAGCACTACCTCTACAATATAATATAAAATTAGACATATTGTAATTCAGTTCAAGGTTCAACTTTTTAATTTCATTTCAACTATCAAGTTTAACATTTCTGCGCTTGAAAGAAGGGGACCAGAGAAATAGACGAAAAGTGCGACCACATTCATGAATTTCTCCTACCAATAGAGGACTTCACTTTTGTAAAATCAGAAGCTGGCTTCAAACTGAATGAAACATTAAAGCTATATTTCTGTCTCGGTTACAACTATACTATAGTTTTGATTAATGGATCTTTTGCTACAAATGAGAACAATGTGGAAAGAGCAAACGTTTTGGAGAAGTTTGTCAACTATATGTGAAGCACAATGCATGTAGCCTTTACGAATCTATGTCAGCAAAATGTTGACGTAAATGAAATCAGTGAATCACAGTTTTCAGAATGAACCGTAGTTATATTTCTGATACAAAAGTTATATTAAAAACTATACCTGACGGTTTTTTGCCATATATCGTTAGCAGAACATAGCTAAGACTGGCTGCCATGATGCACACCATCGCCAATATGCTCATCGAAATCAAAAGCTTTTTCTGTATATACCAACGACGACTGAACGGTCTAGTGAAAATTTTCAATAAAAATTCAGTTAATTATATCCATCGAAAATCCACGAAGCTTTTAAGAAAACTATCTCAAAGTCAATCGATATTTATCTCGTTAAATCGAATTCATTTGATTTATTCTATTTGAAACTATAAAGAACAATGTTTGATCATGAATATCGAAAATCAAAATGTAACTCAAGAAATTAAATGATAAAGCTGCTTTGGCAAGCTAACGATGTTTCGACTACTCAACTTGTCATGTTTTTAATTGTTAGCCTGGAAAATTTCGTGATTACATTTTCACCGAAACAATTAATATCGTTTTCAAATATTGGAGTACATTGTGTAGACTGATAGCCAATATTTTTCAACATGAGGTTTTCCAAACTACCGAGTGATATCAGTTTAACTCTGAGGTTATTAATAGTTTTTTAACAATAAACATGAGTGGTTTTTTTTGCACCTTATTGTGATTTTCAGCATGTGTCGCAGTTGGTATGACAGCGAACATTCGTCATCCTAATCGATTATTTAAGTTTTTAGAGATAAAAACCTAGTCTTCAAGGAAACTCGTCACAGCCGTTTCATCTATGAACTTGAAAAGACTTGATAAAGCTGAAGAACGCGACAAAAGCGGTTAGCTTATAGCAGAAAAAGAAGTTTGTTGTCGTTTTTTCATGATTCGCTCCTGATCTCTTTTGTAGGGGATTTATTCTTGTAACGTTAATAACTTGAAAATGTATTCATAAAAGTTGGATCAGTATGAGACGTAATGTTCAAAATCAAAAATGTTAAAGTTCGTTTTTCACGCAAAGAAATTTAGGTCCTTAAGAGTTTGAAAGAATCTCTTGGAACTCAGTCAGTAAGGAAGAAGTCATGAAATAGTCTTCTGAAAGTTTTTCTACGATGTTGACTATGAGTCATGATTTTCGATTTTAGTTTTCTACTAAAATTGAAAACTTTATTAGTGAGCTATAAGCATAAAACTTGAGTATATGAATAGATTGATATTATTGGTACACAATGACTATTATGAATTGTCACATTTTCTAATAGCAATATAGCAAAAAGAGTAGTATGATCTTCGCATGCCCCCACAGACCCTCGACGACTGTACTCTGTTAGATGAAAGAAGTTGAAACTTACTCAGTTTTTGGATAAAGGGACGCATCTGAGAACAGAAATATTTCAATTAAAAAAAACCTTTTGAAAATGTTCATGTTACCTTCGAATGGAGGTTCCAGTAGTGGTTCCTCCGGTATTATCTGTTTCAAATGAATAATGTGCAGATCACACGCTGGATTTAATAATGATTGTACTTCCATGAATGTTCCCGGTAATAGTAGAATTTCTTCCTCACCATGAAAGTGTGAATGAGCGCTTATATTCCTGCCATTTAACACTTCAATCGAAAATAGGGTTCTCTCCCCTGTCTTACCCAAATAGAGATCACTTTCTAACACGGCTAAAGATTTTGTGGTGGATGAGAAAGCCCACCATGTAATTTGAGCTCCTTTCGGAAATTCATTACTAGTATTTTTTCGTACGCCACGCCATACGACCTGTACTGTCGAACATGGTATTTTAACCAAGGCAGTAAGAAAAAGTTTAAGATATCTGAACCACGGTTGTAAGTCTTGTTGGTCACCTCTCTTAAGAGTGCGATTGAGATGTGAATAAAGACTTGCGCGTGCGTCACTCCACTCCATTGTGTAAAGATGAATTGACGCTGATTCATCACGGGTCAGCCCATCTGGTGGATTATCAGGAGTACCTTCAAGAGCCACTGCAACATAATTAAGTATGTCAGGAATAACGAATGCTAATGGTACGCATGCATCAGCAAGTGGAAGAATTGGCTCTTGGGCATAGCCGATGATAGGACTATGTATTGTTGGATCATCAATATCTTTCATTAGTAGACGAGAGTTTGTACGTTGAACTAGAGGGTCATCGTCGTTTGGCACTCTTTGATGCCCTTCTTTCTTAGACCACTTCATAAGTTTATTCATTATGCTGAAGACAGTTTTGTTATCTAAAACAAAAAAAAATGTAGACAGCAGCAAATAGATTGATAGTTACTGAGAGACAGTTTCTATAATATAAAACCAATCCAGTACTATCGTACTACACTCAAATATAACTATCTGAATAGCGAAATGACAAACGTAAGAATAGTTGATAAAATATCATTGTCTTGTCTTCTTCAACTTTTCTTGAGATACACAAATTACTAGTAATTTGAACAGGGTATTTTATTCTGTGAGAAAAGCCTACGTAAAACTGTTATATGTAGTATACCTAGGCCAATGATGATCGATTTTAGAAAAAGCGAATTTCATCGGAAAGGTTCCGAAAGATGCGTAAAAATCACTTTATTCAGCAAAAAAAAAACTCTTAAAACCAATGTAATATAGAGCTAGTAGGCGGATCAATATGGTTTCGGATTTGTCTGATGACTTGGAACCGTTTCTCGCCGAACAGCTTAAGAATTTAGTCGAAAG